CAATCGTCCCGAAAGCTCGGGCTTATGAAAAATATTTCGTAGAGGATAAGTTGTTACAACACATATGGGATGACATTGAAAGGGTTTTAGTTTCCTAGAGGTGCTTATCAAAGCGAGTGCTAATTTTTCTAGATGGAGATACCTGGTTTCAGCCTCACCTAGGGTTCGACTAACATAATAGATAGGGAGTTGTGTACCTTGTTCGTCTCAGACTATCACTCCACTTACCTTATCTCCGATACTGCCAGATACAAGTAAAGTTGTTCGTCTGCCCTTGGCGTGTGAAGCAGCGGTGGGCTCGACAAGTACCATTTAAGCTCCTCCAAGGTATGTTGACATTCCGAAGTCCATGTGAAGTTATTCTTCTTCTTCAGCAACGAAAAGAATCGGTGGCTCTTATCGGAGGACCTCGAGATGAATCGCCCAAGGCGGCTATGCGCCCTGTTAACCTTTGCACGGACTTTACGTTGTCTACCACCGTGATGTCCTCGATAGCTTTGATTTTGTCGGGGTTGATCTCAATTCCTCGATTGGATACCATGAGGCCGAGAAATTTGCCAGAGCCGACCCCAAACGCGCATTTTTTTGGGTTGAGCTTCATGTTATGTTTCTTCAGTATATTGAAAGTTTCCTGCAAATGCTTCAAATGATCCTCTGCTCACATAGCATGTCATCAATATAAACTTCCATAGATTTCCCTATTTGTTCTTCGAACATTCCGTCTAGGCGTTGATAGGTCGCACCAACATTTTTTAATCCGAATGGCATTACATTATATCAGTAGGTACCATATTTAGTGATAAACGAGGTCTTTTCTTGGTCTTTCGGGTTCATCCGTATTTGGTTGTATCCCGGAATAGGCGTCGAGAAAACTGAGGATCTCGTGGCCAGCCGTGGCAAAGATCATGCGATCGATATTAGGCAAAGGAAAAGAATCCTTAGGGCATGCTTTATTCAGGTCTTTGTAATATATACATATTCTAAGTTTGTTTCCCTTCTTACGGACTACTACTACATTCGCTAACCACTCCGGATATTTTACTTCCCAGATGGACCCTATTTTGAGAAGTTTGGTTACCTCATCTTTGATGAAAGCGTGTTTGACATCGGACTAGGGCCTTCTTTTGTGCTTCCCCCGACGGAATTTTGGGTCCAGGCTGAGTTTATGGGTGGTAATTTTTGGTGGGATCCCTGTCATATCGAAATGGGACCAATCAAAACAATCCATATTAGCTATAAGAAATTGAATAAGTTTTTCCCTGAGCTCGGGGGTTAACCCCGTGCCCAGGTATACCTTCTGATCGGGTAGATGTTCGATTAGCACGACCTGCTCCAGTTCTTCGACCGTTGACTTGGTAGTATCAGAATCATCGGGGGCGATAAAAGATCAAGGAACCCTAAAGTCATTATCTTTGTCAATTCCTTGCTTGTCCGATTGGGTCGAAGTTGGCATCGGTAATTGCTATTTGGCCCCCTGTTTTGATTTCGATCCTGAGTCCTTTGTCGAAGAGAGTGTTGATATCGGAATCACTTCGTCGACTGCAAACATCTCCTTGGTGGTGGTTTGCTCCCCGTAGACTGTTTTGACTCCCTCTGGCGTCGGGAACTTTAGAACCTGGTGAAGGATCAAGGGCACTGCCCTCATGTTGTGGATCCATGGCCTTCCGAATAGGGCATTGTACCTCATATCGCCCTCGATCACATGGAACTTCATTTTTTGGACGGTCCCAACCACGTTTACTGTCAAAGTTATCTGGCCTTTGGTGGTTTCACATGCCACGTTGAAATCATTTAGCACTCGGCCGCGGGCACAACCTGATCCTGTAGGCCGAGGCGTGTCTACGAACCTCGATGGTATGATGTTGGCCGAGATACCTGGATCAATTAAAACACGTTTAACTTGAGTCTTATTCATAAGTACAAATATTACCAGTGCGTCGCTATGGGGTTGTACGATCCCTTCTGCATCCTTGTCATTGAAAGACCACGTAATCCCGAGTTCGCTTTTCCCTTGTGATTGACACATTGGTGCCTTTAAATACTGGTCCTTGAGGAGTATCGACCCCTCCAACGATCATGTGAATCACGTGTTATGGCTCTTCTTGCTCGTTTTGTCTGTTTGAATCTCTGTTTTTGAAGTGATTTTTGGCCCGATCGCTTAAGAATTCCTGAAGGTGCCCCTCATTAAACAATCGGGCTACTTCCTCCCTTAGCTGTTTGCAATCTTCTGTTTTATGGTCATGGGTACCATGATACTTGCATAATTGGTTGGTATTTCTTTAGGCTGGATCAGTTTACAGAGGTCGAGGCCATCTAGTATCTTTGATACGTTCGATGGCAGATATAATGGCGGACGTATCAATGTTGAAGTTATACTCCGATAGTCGCGGTGCTTCTTTTGGCCCGGCATCCCTATCGAAACCACTCTTGCTCATGAGTCCCCGTGAACTTTGACCTCGATCATTTCTCCTCTCATTCCGTGCAGAGTTTCGCCCAGATCCGCTGCCTCTACGGTCTCCATTATATGGTTGATATCGATCTCTATTCGACCTTGGTTCTCGGTTGATATCCCTCTTGGTTCTATCCACGGGCCTATTAGGATAAACGGACCCATAAGGAGCCCCTAGTTGATCATCCTCGACCCTGATTTTCGACTGATACCGATTGAGTACATCGGCCTAAGTGACAGTTGGATTTTCGATCAAATTCTGCTTCAACTACTGTGAAGCTATGGAACTCCGAACGTTGAGACCTTGAGTAAAAGCTTGAACAGCCCAATCGTCGGTAACTGGTGGCAAATCCATTCGTTCCATTTGGAATCGAGATACGAATTCTCTGAGTATCTCGTTGTCCTTCTGCCTTACCTTGAAAAGGTTCGACTTTCTTGTTGTGGCCTTAATGGCCCCGGCGTGTGCCTTTACAAAAGAATCTGTAAGCATAGCAAACGAGTCAATAGAATTAGGCGGTAAATTACGATACCATATCATAGCACCCTTCGATAGAGTCTCCCCGAATTTCTTCAGCAAGACGGATTCAATCTCTTCATTTTCCAAGTCATTTCCTTTGATAGCACATGTGTAGGACGTGACATGTTCGTTTAGATTAGTTGTCCCGTTATACTTAGGAATTTCAGGCATACGAAACTTCTTGGGGATTGGCTTCGGAGCCGCACTTAGGGGAAATGTTTTTGTACAAAATTTTTGGAATCTAGTCTTTTCAATTTTGGTGGTGCCCCCGGGATTTGGTCGACCCTGGAGTTATAGGTTTCCACCTTCTTATCGTGTTCCTCGATCTTCTTTTCCCCTGTCTCGATTCGCTTTGTCAATTATTCGGGCATCTTCATGACACCAAGATTGGTCTTCGATTTCTAATCATTCGATTTCCTTGAAGCCAATTCCACCCTGTGTGCGACTTCCTGGGATGGCTCGAGTTCAACCATGCTCGGTGTTTGGTTCTGCTTTTGGAGTTGAGCTATTGCTGCCTGTTGGGCCTGCGACATTTCGAAGATCACCCGCAGGCTGATCCCGCCTTCTTCACCGCCATGTGTGTTCTGAGTAGCTGATCGGGTACCCCCCGCGAACACTGTTTTCGGGATTGACGGCCAAATTTCCATTGATGGCTACATGCGAACTGACGTTAATCGGATCTACAGCCGAAATTCCATCGAGGCCAACAGGGGGTACAACGTTTCCTGGTGCAATGTTCTCATTTTCGCCGTGGTGGCTGAGATCATTATCAATGTGTTGAGGTGCTGACTGAGAGTTTGACATTTTTTAATCCTGTAATCAAAGATATTCAAAGAACAAGTGTAAAATAGTGTGTGTTACGAAAATTTGTACCAGGCAATCACTATTATCCTTAGCCCCACGGTGGGTGTCAAACTGTTAAAAACAGATAGCAATTGAATTTATATTGTGGTTTTAAGGATACGTGATTTTACTTGGCACAAACTGAGAAAAACGCAAATTGATATTTAAATTAGCTGCAAATAGAAATAAAGCAAACCAAAGGAAACGTATATCTTTGATCCTCGAGCTAGGTCGCCTTCGAATCAAACAAGTATTTTGCTGGAAAATATGAACAAAGTAACAGAGTATTGAGATCTTAAGAGAAAGATAGTATATTGTTTTATGTAACGTGAATATGATGTCTTTTCCAAATGATCAGACCCCATTTATATAGTAGGGGAATCCTACCCTTAATACAATCCTAAATACAGTAAGAAATCTCATGATTAGCTGATTAATCGGCCTTTTCTTGATACGTGCCGAGATTCCCGCCGTGATCCTCGCCCGATCGCAGATATCTTGGCTTTTTGTTATTTGGCTCGGCAGGCTTCCCTCGATCTTGCTTGGTCTCTATCTCGCTTGGTCTCGATCTCGATCGATTCCTGAGCACGAGCTTGGCAACCTAACTTCGTGTCACGGTCCGGTATGTCGAACCTTGGCCTGCCACGTCTCGGTCTCGATTAATCATACAAAAAGGGCAAGCTCGATTTTGACCGTATACAAAATTAAAGCACGACATCGTATAGTATAAGCATTTTGTACTTTATTACTTAATTTACGAAATCCTTCGAGGAATCTTGCTAGTTGGTGATGACTAAGAGACCCCAACTTTTGTCAATTTATTTAAAATATAATAATAACAAGAGTCGGCTTCCCTCTAACGTCAAACCATGTGTGAAGAACAATAAAGAAATGGATCGAATCTATATTCCTACCCCATTCATTGCACAACCTTTTTGACTTTCCCATTAAGTAATATATTGTTCATTTTCTTTTCTTTATTTTGAATTTAGTATAAAGACAAGACTCCAGGAAGAAGACAGATCATAGATGACAAATCTCGATAACAGTTCGGTCAACATTTGCTTACAAACGTTCGAGCTCCGAGCGGAAAAAATCTTAATAGAGTGATTTATCTTTTACTAATAAATTTTATATTGCATAACTTCGAATTAGTCGAAAATTTAATTGCACATCAAGTATTAAATATCATATGAAAAATAAAATTAATTTATAAACCTTTCAAGCTAATCATTCCATAAGTATTAAACGAAGAAGTCGAAACTTCCAACAAATTAAACTTTTCCCTTTCTATTTCTGCCCCTAAAATCTTCCCAAATTTACATACGAATCCAACCCCACAACTACAACTCTCTACGCCTTTAACCTTTAACTCTTTGTCAAATGTTAATTCCGCCCCTCAACTAGTCCAAAACTACAAAAATACCCCTAAAACTCTATTTCACTCCTTCCTCTCTTCCGTTGACCCAAACACCATCATTTGAGAGTTGTTCTCCTGCATTGCGCCTATCGTATGACGATGTTCCCCTTCATAAGTCACAATCAGCATAGCAGGATCATCCATTGCCCTTTCCACGTGTTTCCTCGCTGGACATCCTCTTACGCTGCTACACTTATAATATCCCCTGAGATATAATATAAAAAATTACATCAGATTTGATCCGTCTTTCCTGATTTAAAAATACAACGGCTGTGATTGATGGTGCATGGTAATTACCGTGGGTATGGTGAACCCTTGATCGGCTTCTGCCCGTATTTTCTCCACGAGAACTCGTCTCCCGGTATATCCGCAATTCTCGAACTTATCGCTGGGATTCTTACAACTGTCTTTACACGAGATTTCCTGATTAAAAAAAAAGCAAATGATTAATTAAAATGTCTCAATTTTTTAATCATTCTTTTAGAAAACGTAGCTGTAACGGGAGTTAAAAAAACGTAAGTGTGATTGAAGTCAACAAAGACAGAAAGAGAAAAAAAAAAGGCATCCTAAGCCCGCAACGCCACTTTGGGACGACGCGCTTCGTAGCTCACACGCGCGAGAAAAGAATAAGAATAAAGTGCTCAACGAACCTCTTTTTGCAGTGACACTTCCCGGAGCCGGTGGATTTGCCGGAGATATCTTCGGAGTGTTCGTGCTCGCGGCATCTTTTACCGGCTACTGGTGGTTTCCCTGCGGAAACAGCTGGCGCCGGAGGCAGAAACATTGACGAACCTTGTTTTCCGTTTGATACACTTCCTTCGCCGGTAATCGACGAAATGAACGACGACGAGTTCGTCGAAGTCGCCATCGGCGTAGATATACAGAAAGTCTCCTTTGACTTCACAGCAACAATAGCATTGGAATTTCCCGCCGGACGGTCAACGTTTGGCTTCGTAAAGTCAAGCGTCAACGCCGTTAATGGCGGCGACACTGATAGTGGCGGTGGAGGTGTCTCTTTAGCCGGAGCTAAGTTCAACTGCTGATTTGACGGAGAAAGAGAGAAAGAGATAAAATTATGAGGATGAACCTGAACCGGACCACGGCGGAACCGAGCATGGCCGGTCCGGTCCAGAATAGAAATAACCTTCTTAAATTTCGAAACAGTGAAGTCAGTTATCTCGCGGCAATCGAGCTGAACCGGCTGTTGCTGTTGTTGATGAGAAACCAACCGGATTAAATGTTCCATAGATTTTAAACCGGCTGAAGCAGCTTCTTGAAGAGCTAATTGCTCATTCATTTTTGAAAACCCAATAAAATCAACTGCCATTTTTGGAGATTTTTTAATGAAGAACAATAAGAAGAGGGGATTATATACAAGGAAAAGAGATGACCGAGTGAACAGGTAAGAGTCAAATGTTTTCATCTAACGGCTGAGATCATTTGATAATTTCTATGTGATGAAACAAAAAGACAAAATAAAAGTCTCTCTTTCTTTGCTGGTAGCAGAATTTGTAGGCCCCACTAAAGAGAAAATCATTACTTTGAGAGTACAACTCTCTGAGCTGGAAGTACAAAGTAGTATGCATATCTTTTTATGTAGAGTATTGTTTTGAATGAATTTGTTGGGGTGGGGGGAAGTTGAGAAGATCTATAGCTGGTAAGAAAAAAGACAAATATGGGGATTGTGTTGTATTAATATATGGGTTATCTAAACATAATGCAAATTGTGGTAATCAATGTTTTAAGAGGCGGGGTATGGGCGAGGCATTTTACCTCTGACGAGGCGAGGCGTAATCCCTGAGATATGGGGCGTAAGTTCCACGAATCTTTAAATTTTATTAATTCCAAGAATTTTAAGATAGTATAAAATAAAAAAAATAATTATAAAAATTATACTAAAATCACAAAAATATTTATAATTTATAATTTAACTATAAATAATACGAAAAATATGACATACAATAATTTGCAAATTAGTTGCAACGTCGTTACAACTCAAACATCAAAAGTAATGTATTTGATACAAAATCTTAAATGTATCTCTTAAGGAGTAATGAATCTTGAAAGAATTTCGATATTATAATTTGATATTTTTCTTAAAATACTCCATTTATTTAATATGTTTTCTATTTGAAAGAGAATTTGTATAAAAACATAATTCATAATTTAAATATGATTCTCTAGCATCATTTATTTTTAAGTTTCAACAAGTTAATAAAGTGACACATAATTCACCATACAATACCATGATAACTAATTATTTGTAAATAGTTACTAGCTAATACCTAGCTATTAAATTAATAAGTGTTGTATCTCATAAACGTGAAAAAAATAATATTTTAAAAAATAATTATAAAAATATTATGGACTATTATATATTAAAGACATAACAAAAGTTGATAAATAAATACTTTTTAAATGAAAGATTTATTTAAAATTAACTATCATAGCAGCCTTAGTGGATAATGGCAATAATTTTTTATTTTAATTATGACATACAATACTCTCAACCTAATGATTTATGATTAAGAAAAAAGTAATTTTGAATAGTCAACGATTTATTAAGAAAATTTGAGGATTTACAAGGTTAGTTACATACAATTGCATAAAATTCTATTAGACGATCCCAGTACGCTGGACATTGGGCGTGTCCAGGGCGTAAGCTCCGATGGCCGAGGCGTAAGTTTCACGGAACTAAGCTCCATACATAAGCCCAGGGGCGTTTTACGAGTGCTCCGCCCCGGAGCGAGTCCCAGACGAATCCCAATTCTGCCTTTTAAAACAAAGGTGGTAATCCCAACCAAGATTACATAAATATATAATGCAGATTATATATCTCCACCCAGAATTATTTTTTTCTAGGATCTTTAGCTATTTTTTTTTTTGTTGGATTTTAACGGGATGATCCAGGCAGTGTAAAAAGATACTCGTATGTACCCATTTGCGAAATTCGCCATCAAAAAGTTATACATAATATAATTTTGTACGCTCGTAGAATATAATTTGTATAATTCGAAAGTATAATAGTTGAATGACATTGTTATACAAGGTATAACATGTAAAATCTATATTTTGAGGGTATATAACGTATATATACGTGCTAAGTATTTTGTAAATATTTTTTCCTAAATATATATGAATTATAATATTTTTAAAAATGAGTATTTTCATGTATTATTTTTGCCACATGGACATTACCATTAATTTCCCTTTATTTTTTTGGTGAAACTTTAACCAAAACGAAAAAGATAAACAGGTAAAGGCCGTAAGTGTGTTCAAGAAAAATCAAACAATCGAACCAAACTGAAATCGAATTAAAATGACTAAAAAGTTGGGGTGTATTTGGTTTAGCTTGCTTTAGTATTTAACTCAAAAAGGGTTGATCAAACCAACATATAAATTAAATCGACATATAAAAGTCAGTGTATATGTTTATAACTTTACATTTTTTCTCTTAAGAATTTTTTAAACATATTTCTGATCCTTACTCGAGATGTAGTGTTTGATGCAATTATTATACATAATCCTTTTCTGATTACAGTAAATGATTAATTCTAGTATGTTTGTCACTTTCTTATTAAATGTTAAATTTTAATATTTCAATCTTAGCTGTTTACTCTTTTATGTTCACATGCCCATATTTGTTAAGCAATATTCTTTCTGGATTTTGAGATAGCATTTTAAATATAATTTTTAAAATAAGTGAAACATATAATTATGCTTCATATTGAGTTTTGTATTCTTCTTACTTATTAAAATTTGGGTAAGTTTGAAGGCTCTTATGAATTTAAGATTTTTGTTAGAGAAATGAAAAATGAATAATTACCGTGTATCACGAAATTCTTTTTGCACATAAGCACATTTATGCTAAATCGAACGAGAAAGAATCGGAGACCAATCCTGCAATCAAGAAGATGCTCGAAGAACTGACAAAATAAATTGAGTCGGGGGAAAAGAAGATCGAGGCAAACGACAAGAAGGTGAAAACTTACAACTTTAGGGTCAATAAGATCCCAGGGGCACCGCCAATATTGAAGGGACTGGACTCCAAAAAATTCGTGCAAAAACCTTTCCCCCCAAGCGCGGCTCCAAAGCCGATCCCCAAGAAGTTTCGCATGCTCGAGATTCCTAAGTACAATGGAACAACCGATCCAAACGAGCATGCACCTCTTACACATGTGCTATCAAAGGGAATGATCTAGAGGATGACGAGATCGAATTTGCCTTGCTAAAGAAATTCGGAGAGACCCTGTCAAAGGGAGCTATGACATGGTACCATAATTTACCACCTAATTCTATTAATTCATTTGCTATGCTTGCAGATTCTTTCGCAAAGGCACACGCTGGGGCCATCAAGGTCGAAACCAGAAAGTCGGACCTTTTCAAATAAGGCCGAAGGACAATGAAATGCTCAGAGAATTCATGTCTCGATTCCAAATTGAACGGATGGACCTACCACTGGTCGCTGATGATTGGGTTGTTCAAGCTTTCACCCAAGGACTCAATGTTCGAAGCTCGGTGGCTTTGCATCAGTTGAAGCAGAATCTGATAGAGTACCCGGTTGTTACTTGGGCCGATGTGTACCAATCGAAGATCAAGGTCGAAGACGATCAACTTAGGGATCCTTCTGGGTCCGTTTATCCTATCAGACCCGTCGATAGAATCAAGAGGGATATTGACCGAGAATCGAGGTTGAACAGAGCGAGATACCAGCCATATAATGGAGATCGAAGGAGCTGCGGATCTGGGCGAAATTATGTGCGAAATAAAAGGAGAAGTGATCGAGGCTAGAGCTCTCGAGGGCTCATGAGCAAGAACGGCTTCGACAGGCCTATCGGACCTAAAGAAGCACCACGATTATCAGAATACAACTTTAATATTGATGCAGCTGCCATCGTATCGGCTATCGGACACATCAAAGATACCAAATGGCCTCGACCTTTACAAGCCGATCCAGCCCAAAGAGATCCCAACCAAGTGTGCAAATATCATGGCACTCATGGCCACAGAACGGAGGATTATCGACAACTGAGAGAAGAAGTAGCCCAATTACTCAACAACGGGCACCTTCGGGAATTTCTGAATGACCGAGCCAAGAATTATTTCAAAAATAGGGATTCCAATAAAAAAAAACGAGCAAGACGAACCTCAACACATCATTCATATGATCATCGAAGGGGTCGATGTTCCTCAAGGTCCGAAGTTAAAGCGCACCAAAGTATCAATCACAAGGGGAAAACGGACCCGAGATTACATACCAGAAGGAACTTTATCTTTCAACGACGAGGATGCAGAAGGAACCATGTAGCCCCATAATGATGCGCTAGTAATATTTGTACTCATGAATAAAACTCGAGTTAAACGTGTGTTAATTGATCCAGATAGCTCGGTCAAATACCTGGAATGGTTAGTAAACGTAGTAGTAGTCCCTAAAAAAGGGAACAAACTGAGAATGTGTGTGGATTATGAAGATTTAAATACGGCATGCCCCAAAGATTCTTTCCCCTTGCCTAACATCGATCGCATGATCGATGCCACGGCCAGCCATGAGATCCTCAATTTTCTCGATGCCTACTCCGGGTACAACCAAATACGGATGAACCCGGATGATCAAGAAAAGACCTCCTTCATCACTAAGTATGGCACATACTGCTATAACATAATGCCATTTGGATTAAAAAATGCCGGTGCCACTTACCAACGCCTAGTAAATCGAATATTTGAAGAACAAATAGGGAAATCTATGGAAGTTTACATTGACGATATGTTAGTTAAGTCCCTGCGAGCAGAGGACCATTTAAAGTATTTGTAGGAAACCTTCAGTATATTGAAGAAGTACAACATAAAGTTGAATCAAAATCAACCCCGACAAGATCAAAGCTATCGAGGATATCACGGTAGTGGATAATGTGAAGGCCATACAAAGTCTAACCGAACGCATTGCCGCAATGGGACGATTCATCTCGAGGTCCTCCGATAAGAGCCATCGATTTTTCTCGTTACTAAAGAAGAAAAACAACTTCACATGGACCCCGAAATGCCAACGGGCCTTAGAAGAGCTTAAGCGATATATATCGAGCCCGCCATTGCTTCACACACCGAGGGCAGACGAACAACTATACTTGTATTTGGAAGTATCGGAAATAGCGGTAAGTGGAGTCCTAGTTCGAGAAGAACAAAGGTATGCAATTTCCAATTTATTATGTTAGCCGGACCTTAGGTGAGGCCGAAACTAGATATCCTCACCTAGAAAAATTGGCACTCGCTTTGGTAAGTGCCTCTAGGAAACTGAGACCATATTTTCAGTGCCATCCTATATGTGTTGTGACAACCTACCCATTACGAAATAT